AATTAAAGTTATCATCTGATAAGGTGGGGGTTGCCAGCCTCGAGTGGCACCACAGTAACCAATGTTAGCTGTGGTGTGGAATTGTAGAGGGCTGGGTGGGCCCTCTACAATTTCCCAAATCAGAGAGTTAATTAGAACTCACCATCCTCTTTTTTGCTTCCTTTCTGAAACTAAAAATCAGAGCGCTTTTGTTAAATCTGTTAGTAGAAAGCTCGGGTTTGTAGATAGATTAGCTGTTGTGGATCCTTCTGGTCAAAGTGGAGGTCTTCTTCTTCTCTGGGACCCACAAGTCTCTATAATCCAAATTATTAGTAGTTCTTTTTATTTGGCAGTTCATTTTCAGACTAATAACCTAGACCCTCAGTGGGGCATTTTTGTGTACTTGAGCACCTGCAGAATCACTAGAGCTCAACAGTGGCAAGAATTAATTCAAGCTAAATCATCATGGGGCTCAAATTGGTTCTCAATTGGAGACTGGAATGACATTTGTTCTCACAATGATAAGTCTGGTGGCATCTGTAGAAGTGATCTCAGTTTACAAGGGTTCAATAACTTCATTCATCATATGGAAATGATTGAACTCAGCATGAATGGCTATCCTTTTACTTGGTGTAATAACAGAGCTGGCTCTGGGCTTATTGAAGCAAGACTGGATAGAGCATTTGGTTCTTTTGAATGGCTCATCAATTTTCCTAATGCTTCAGTTACCAACATCATCAGAAGTTCATCTGACCACTCTGCTCTTTTGATTGACTGGGGCCTTTCCAAAACCAGGCAGAAATCAAGGTTTCATTTTGACAAAAGATGGATTGGGAAAGAAGGTTTCGAGGATCTTGTGAAGGAAACTTGGAACACTCCAGTGTATGGCACCCCATTCTATGCTCTGAAGGAAAAAGTGAAGCTCACTCGGCTAGCATTACTTAAATGGAGCTCCTCTTTTAAATCTCAGAACCAAGCAAAGATTGATGGTCTTACAAAAAAGTTGGAAGTATTGAATCTGAATAAAACTGGTGATCAATGGCAATTGTGGGAAGATACTAAAAGAGAACTTGATGCAGCCCATCGACAAGAAGAGCTTTATTGGCATCAGAAATCCAGACACAAATGGCTCAAAGAAGGTGATGCTAACACTAAATTCTTTCATGCCTACACCTTACAAAGAAGAAGGAAAAATGCAATCTCCAGGTTGCTTTCAGCTGAGGGCAGAGTGATATCAACTCAGAGAGACATTGAACTGCACATTGCTGATTTCTATTCACAGCTATTCAATTCAGAGGGCAGCTGGGGTGGAGACTCTATCATTCCCCTTATTCCCACATCCATCACAGATGACATGAACACAGCACTTCTCAAGCAAATTACTGAAGAGGAGGTTCATGATGCTCTTTTTTCTCTTAATCCTGATAAAACTCCAGGTGAAGATGGGATGAGTGCTCACTTTTATCAACATTTCTGGCCTCTTATCAAGTATGATCTTTTTTCGGCCATCTCTAGTTTCTTTCAATCTGGCCTTATGCTTAAATATTGGAACCACACCATCCTTTCTTTGATTCCTAAATGTGATAATCCTGACACTCTGAGCAAATTTAGACCTATTAGTTTATGCACAGTTGTTTATAAAATCCTATCTAAGGTGCTAGCTAATAGACTTATGGTGTGCCTGGATTGCTGCATTAGCCCCTATCAGTCTGCATTTATTAAAGGGAGACAACTCTTTGACAATGTTATCATTGCACAAGAGGCATTCCACTTTCTCAATAGGCATTCATCTGGTAACAAATTCTTCATGGCCCTGAAACTTGATCTTGTTAAGGCCTTTGATAGAGTGGAGTGGATTTGCATTAAAAAGGTTATGGTTCAAATGGGTTTTCACTTGGACTTTGTGAAGCTGCTTATGGTCTGTGTTTCCTCTGCATCTTTCTCCTTCAAAATAAATGGATCAGTAACAGGTTTTGTCAACCCTTCTCGAGGTATTAGACAAGGGGACCCCTTGTCTCCATACCTTTTTATAATTGTTGTTGAGCTCTTGTCTGCTATGGTTCTGGATTCTACTGATAGAGGCAGACTGAAAGGGATGAAATTATCTCAGAATGGCCCCCTACTTTCTCATTTACTCTTTGCGGACGACTCCCTTTTCTTTTGCAAGGCTGGAGTAGATCAAGCATCATATCTTATGAATCTGCTAGAACATTACAAACTCTTCTCAGGACAGCAGGTCAATTTGTCAAAGTCTGCAATCTTCTTCAGTAGAAATACTCCTCAACAGCTGAAATCCAATATCTGTAATGCTTTGAGTGGAATTATGTCTCACAGATCCACCAGATATTTAGGCTTACCTTTGGGTATTGGAAGGTCCAAAAAAGAGGTGTTTGACTACATCCTTCAATCTGTAAGAGGCAGATTGCAGAGCTGGCAATCTAAATTCTTAAGCACTACTGGCAAAGAAGTCCTCCTCAAATCAGTTATTCAGTCTCTCCCTGTGTTTTCTATGTCTTGCTTTAAACTCCCTTCATCCCTTTGTAATGAAATTTCAAGACTTTGTGCAAATTTCTGGTGGCAGTCAGGTGATCCAAATAAGAAAAGCATTCACTGGAAGAGATGGGAGCTATTGACCATATCCAAACAGCAAGGTGGGCTGGGGTTTCTTGATATCAAACTCTTCAACCAATCTCTATTATGCAAGCAACTGTGGAGGATTGCCTCGAACCCTGACCTCCTAGTAAGCAAAATTCTCAAAGCAAGGTACTTCCCTAATACTTCCATTATTCATGCTGTCAAAACTTCAAATGCTTCTTGGATGTGGAACTGTTGGATGGAAATGATGCCAACTTTTTCTAAGTGGTTGAGAGTTGAGATTAGAAATGGAGGAAACACCAAAATTGAGGACCTCAATTGGGTCCCAAACCTCACAAAAGCTTCTCCCACACTCCTGGAAATTGCTAGAGGTCATCTAATATGGGTTAAAGATTTATTGCATGCTGATGGACTGAGCTGGAATGATTGGTTGGTGAGACAAGTGTTCAATGAGGCTGACAGCAATGCTATTCTCAGAATCACCTCTCTGAACCCCAACAGAGAGGACAGAATTCACTGGGGGTTAGACACCAAAGGGTTGTTCTCCACTGCCAGTACTTATAAATTCCTTTCACAGCAGAAGATAGCAAGAATGGATATACCTGAAAGCAGCTCAAACTCAGGTATCTGCAAGAAAATTCTCCACAGGGGCTGGTCTTTGAAAGTGCTTGGCAAAATAAAACATTTTTTATGGAAATGTATATCTGGAACACTTCCAGTTGCAGTACAGCTGAGGAAAAGAGGATTGGACATTGATCCTACTTGTCCTTTGTGTGGTGATGCTCCTGAAACAACTGAACACTTACTATTTTCCTGCCCTCGAGCTCAAAGATTTTGGGAACTTTCTCCTGTGTACTGGGATGGTCTCACTGCCTCTGCTGACTCATTTAAAGTGTGGTGGAACCAGATCTGCTCCTTAGGGACTTCAAAGATTACCAAAGACAGAATTCAACTTACAACATACCTACTTTGGTGGCTCTGGAAGACGAGGAACCTCTGGGTATTCCAAAAATCACTCATGCCAGTTCACCAAATCATTAAAGCTGCTCATAAGGACTGGCTGGACTTCTGCTTGGTTTCCTAGTTTTCTGTTTGTTGATTTTGATTGTTGGCTTCTAGTTTGCTTTGGTTTTTTGGTTCTTCCAGGTCTGTCTTGATTGTATTTGCGGTTGTGTAGTTTAAGTTAGTTCCTAGCTAGGCTTTATAGCAGTGGTTGTGTGCTAAACTTTAGTCCTATTTTTTTTAGCTTCATTTTGTCCTTCGGATTTGTTGTTTTTCTAGAGGTTCTAGGCCGCTCTCATGCGAGCCTCTCAGTTTATGGTTTTCCGGGAGTTGTGTTGTATTTGACATTTATTCTCTTTTGAGATTTTTATATAATTGCTTCTATCGTTTTGGGAGAAAAAAAAAAAGTGGTCATAATCCCTCAAAAAATTACATTATCTATTATATTTTATGCAATCGATATAGTGATTCATATGCAATCAAATTGATGTGTACTATTTATTTTAACCATGATAAGATTTGAAAACATAATCTCATTATCTAACTTATAATTTAATATTATATGCATAAATATAGCTTATTATAATACTCAATGTTTAAAATATAATATTATTATCTAACTTATAATATTAATATCATATACATACATATAACTTATATACTTTATTTACATGATCGAATACTAGTTGTGAGTATAAAGAGTTCATTTTTGTGTGTGACTGAATTTGAGCGTATTTTCAGTATAGTTAATTTATTAACAAATCTAAAGGTTTTTAAATTTTTAACACAACACAAACACCCTAAATTTACATAATGAGTATCATTTCAAAACTTTTACCTACTAATATGTCATTCTCATAAAATAAATATCTCAATGATTATAATAAAAATAATTTGTTTATGGATTTTCATTTGTTTTCCTCTTCAACAAATTTAGGCAGCAAATAGATTTACGTAGTGTTTGGTTCAAGGGAATCAGAGGGGAGGAGAAGGGAGGTGAGGGAAACTTTTAATTTTCCTCTGTTTGGTTCACTCTTTTGTGGAGGGGAGGGGATGAGATTTTCCCCTCTAATTCATGCGCAGAGGAAAATGGCTCCCCCTCCAATTTTGGGGGAATTTGGAGGGGAGGGAAAATATTAAGACACTCAATTACAATTTTATCCTTGTCATATATAATATTTTAATTTTTATTTTAACATCCTTAAGGATACATTTGTCATTCTAACATTATTTTCCCTCCTCTTTCATTATCTAACCAAACAAGGTTTGCTATTTTCCTTTCATTCCCCTCCAACGAAATCCTTCCAAACAAGGTAAAATGATTTTACATCACCTCCCCTTCCCTTCCCTCCCCTCCATTAAAATCCCTCCCCTCCCTTTCCCTCCGTTGAACCAAACATAGCCTTAAAGAAAATACATTTAACAGCAGTGTGTGTGAGGCACACACTCATGACTCAACACTCAACAGCATAATAGGAGGAGGGAGGACCCATTTGCCATTTGATATTGATTGTGGCCAACCATGGCAGATAACTTCCTGCCCACGTGTCAGCCATACGAAACACCCCAAGAAATTAATCCATACGAAATCCCTCTTTCCACAATTTCTTGTTTCATCAAGAATTTACATTGAAGTATCAGAAAAAGGCCAGCAAGAAGAAGAGGAAGAAAAAGATAGGATCTTTGTGAAAAAAGAAAAGAAAAAAACTGTATAATAATTGCAGAAATGGCATCAGCAACTGCTTCTTTGGGTTCGTCAGCTATAGTTCAGTCAACCTCTGGGGGATTTAGAGGCCAAAAGCCTTCGCTTTCAGCTCCCAATTCACTTATTTCAACGAGGTGCTGGTTGATTCTTTCTACTTTTTCTGATGGGTTATGGTTTTCCAAGTCTTTGTTGAGTTAGTGAATTAGGTTTCTGATGATGCTGTGGTTGTTTTTATGTATTTATTAGTATTTTTTTTATGCTAAAGAGGTAATTTCTGACTTGCTGCCTGATAAAACGAGTGAATTGTGCTATTAAATGAAGGCATAATTAGTTTTAGCCACATTATGCTGTTATGTGGTGGTGAAACTTGCTCTGCTGGGTTCGAATATCACGTATTTGTGAAAATGCTTGGTTGAGTTTCGGTTATTGCCAGAGAAATTTCAGCGTTATGTTTATAATTTGTTAAAATTATATTTCTGATTGTTTCGATTCCCATTCGGGTTGTAAGAAAAGGGCATTCTTCGTGTTCTATATTCTTAGAGCTTGTCGCCACAAACGGCATTTATTCTTGACCAATATCATGTTCACACGGTGACACGGCTTAATATCAAGAATCCATTTTGCTAATTGTAATGATATTGAGGGTTACAAAATTTTGCTTTGCAATTGGCTCTTTAATTGTTGTGCTTATGTTTATGCAGGAGACATTCTCGACTTGTGGTGAAGGCAACTTCTCGTGTTGATAAGTTCTCGAAAAGTGACATAATTGTATCTCCATCTATTCTTTCCGCTAATTTCTCTAAACTAGGAGAACAGGTAGCATTCTTACTAACCTCACCTTTGCTTTCTCAATCTCTTGTCAGAAATATAAACAAAATTCATATTTGCCTTCCTGGATTCAATCATTTTTGCAAGTGCTGCATATGAATGTGATTTCAATTTTCATCTTCTTTTGTTTACAAGAATAGGTCAAAGCAGTTGAGTTGGCGGGTTGTGATTGGATTCATGTTGATGTTATGGACGGTCGTTTTGTGCCGAATATTACGATTGGGCCCCTCGTTGTCGATGCCCTGAGACCAGTCACGGATCTGCCATTAGATGTGCATTTGGTACTCTACTCCAATTTCTAAGTTATAAGATTATTAAGATAAAATATATCTTTCATTATATAATGTACGTCTTTTTAACATTTTTAAAGCATGACAGATGATTGTGGAACCAGAGCAGCGAGTCCCGGACTTTATAAAGGCTGGAGCTGATATAGTCAGTGTTCACTGTGAACAATCTTCAACCATCCATTTGCACCGTACATTGAATCAAGTAAGATTATGGCTGGCCATGCAATAAAATAAGGCAAACTTGGTTAAGAATTTGTTTTGATTGTTCGATCAATAGGAGTTTGCCAAATCAGATGTAGCCGAGTGGTTTTACAGACTTATGGATTTTAGTTTGACAATGTCAAGCATCATTTTCTTGAGAATGTTTATCAGGGTGTGTTTGTATATCAAAAAACTCAATTCATACTCAAAATCTAACTCAACTTTAACTCAATTCCACTATCCTCAATATTATCAATATAATTAAATAATACCAACCAATCATTCCTACACATCACATCGACTTTAATTACTATTCATCCACTCACATAATTTTAATTAACTATCACTTCACATCATCTCTATCCTACTTTTACATTAAATCAACTTTAATTATTTTGTTTTACATATTATTTTAATATAATATCAAAATTCCAACAACTAATCATACAACTTTTTGCAAAATTGACTTTAGTTAACCAAAAAAACTCATTTTGAGTGGATATATTTGTATACAAACACACCCGCCCTGTTATTGTTAGTACTATATTTATTTGGAGTTACTTGTTTAGATATTCATGAGGTAACTAATTCGAGCTCTTTCTGGCTTAAGACTTCCATGTCATATTTGCTGATTTGTTAACTGCATTTACACTTTTCTGGTTTAGATTAAGAGTCTAGGAGCCAAAGCTGGAGTTGTGCTGAACCCTGCAACTCCATTGACCACCATAGAGTATGTTCTTGATGGTAAGATTAAATAATTTCTGTTCTTTCATCTTTCCTAGTTGTTGGGAGATCTATATTCATAAATCCTAATGCAGCCCTGATGTTGCCATTCGAATGATTGCATTTTGCTGGAGGAAAAAATTCAAAGATAAAAAGGGTTTCATTCGATTATTTTTTTTTCCTCGATGATCTATCCGGTTTTCTCATTCGAAAGTTGTGAAAGCTAGTCCATACGTAGACATTAAAGAAAATGCATCTCATCAATCTTTTTGATCGAGTGAGTGTATTGACATATTCTAGTATTTGCCTCTGTTTTAATTTAATTTACAGTGGTTGATCTGGTACTAATTATGTCTGTCAACCCTGGATTTGGCGGGCAAAGCTTCATAGAGAGCCAAGTAAAGAAAATATCAGACTTGAGAAGAATATGTGCCGAGAAAGTACTGAATATCCTTTTCTGTATATCGTATTTTTTTGAAATGTTTGTAGAATTCTCATTCCTATTGTGTCTGCTCACAGGGAGTAAACCCGTGGATTGAGGTAGATGGTGGAGTTGGTCCTAAAAATGCCTACAAGGTAAGAACTTATTTTTCAGTTTGAAAATTTTAAGTTTTGATAAGTAGTGCCTATTTTTTCCTAAAAGAGATTCTTGCCTTGCAGCACTAAGTCATTTTATTTTTCATTTTTTTCTATTGTAATTTCATAGTTTTTATGTGTCTGCTTAGTAGTTCGGATTGTGTGCTCAGTGCAAGTTTTGCTTCAATTAGCAAAAAATTGCATCACTTAATTGAAAATTCTCTACGGGGGGTAATGTTGGAATCTAAAACAAGTTCGGTTTAATCTCACGATATGCAAAAACTAGCACATGGCTGGTTTTAAAGTTGATAATGTCAACAGGTAATTGAAGCTGGGGCCAATGCCTTAGTTGCTGGCTCTGCTATTTTTGGAGCTCCCGATTATGCTGAAGGTAAGATTACCACATCACCACTTGAAGTCCATTAAAAATTTTTCGTCACAACTTATTTTTTCGTGTTTGCAGCTATTAAAGGCATCAAAACCAGCAAAAGGCCCGTGGCTGTTCCAGTTTAAGCTTTCCACTGAAGATTTTATTTCGGCACATATATATATTTGGGGTTCAGTGAATAATAATCCAGAGGTTAGTCGAGTTGGTCGTTATGGATAATACTTTTTCTTGATTGTAACTATTTTACGCTATTGATCTTCTAAAATCGTATCCGTTATTCGTTAATCATTTCTTTTTAAGAGCTATAATCCTTTTTGTGCTGCAGTCCACTTGGAAAGGCTCGTTATTGGAATTACTGTTACAGGATTCGTTTGTCTTGTCAAAAAAGAAGGATGACTAGAAAGAAAGACTTGATTTTTGCGATCATATGTTCGTAGCATATAAAATCCTCATTAAGGATTTCGTGTAATGGAAAGATGATAGGCTAATTAATAGCCTTCAGGTGCATGTGCTACTTTTATTTTTTGGTGTACAAATGTAAAGTATACTGGTGAGATCAGTTACAATCATAATGCAAGCAGTATATTTCTAAAGTGAGCTTTTTGCAGTGAATGCAGATCAGTGAAACTGTGAAAAACGTGCACTACCTTAAACCTACTTTCAGAAAAACTGAAGAAGAAAAAAAAGCCAAGACCATTGTAAATGGTGAACTGAACCAATTGAGATCGTATTTCAGTTTTCACAGATGAAGATGCTCGTCGATTTTACTATATGTGAAACTCTGCAAACCATAGAATAAATGTATACCTAAAACTTGAAATCTTCACATCACTACTTTATCACCAATAAATCTGTAACTCTCAGACCATAGGATAAATGTATACCAAGCATCAAGTGCTTATAGTAAGTTGAAAATTCTCAAGTGCTTCTTTTATAACTTGAAAAAACAAAAAAAGGGAATTCAAGTGCTTATGATAAGTTCAGATTTGTAATTTAAAAGAAGCAAATAGAAATGATCTTGGAGTTGCATGAAGTACAACTAGAATAGATGCAATTGACTTCCAAGAACTGCAGGAATCGAGTTTTATATCATCCTTGCTGTCGTTAAAAGGAAAACGAAGAAGAAGAAGAAGAAGATAAACAATCTCTAAGGTTCACAAACACTTTGTGTAATCTTCATTACACTTTTCAGCTGATACAAAACAAGCCATCCCCTGATAACCTCTACTCAAATCCTTATACATACACGCATTCGGCAAAATCCCCATCTTCACCATATCAGCCTGCAGCATCATAACAGCAAACACATGCTCAGCCCGAAAATGCCCTTCCACAATGGCAGCATAATCCGATACATTGGGACGTAAACCGCTCTTCTTCATGTCTGCAAAAAACTTGGTCGCCTGGAAAACCCGACCATTTTTACACAAAGCCCCAATCAGAATCGAATAATTAACTTTGTTCGGGCAGTTATTGTTCCTACTTTGTTCCAAGAAAAAATTAATCGCATTATTGATCCTTCCTTCTCTGCAAAGCCCATCAATAACGCAACTAACCGTGAAAACATTAGAAGCAACCCCAGAATTCTCCATTTCTTTGTACAGATTAAGAGCCACATCAGCATAACCGTTCTTGAAATGTCCGTCGATTAAAGCTGTAAAAGCCACCACATCTGGTTTGTAGCCTTTAATAGCCATTTCATAGTAAAGCCCCATGGCAGCCTCCAGCTGGCCGATTTTGCAGTATCCGTTAATCAATATACAAAATGTAACAGTATCGGGCTGAACACCATTTTCCATCATTTTCGAACAAATTTCCACAGCTTTCTCCAAATTTCGTTTTTTGCAGTACCCATCGATTAGTGTGTTGTAGAGTACAGAGTTTGCCACTAGTCCTGTTTTATTCATCTTAGAGAATAGAAGATTCTCTGCATCTTCAGCCCTACCGATTTTACAATATCCCTTCACGAGAATTCCGTACGTGAAAATATCCGGGTAAATACCGAATCTGTCCATCTCCGTAAAAATGTCCATTGCGGCGGATAAGTTGCCTGAATCAGAAAAGCCTTCCATCAAGCAATTATACACGTAAACATTAGGAACAACATTTAACTTCACCATATGCACAAAGAAGCTCCTAAAAGCCTCGACCTCGCCCATTTTGCAGAGCAAGTATATCATGATACTAAAGGTGATACAATTTGGCAGAACTTGTTTATTATCCAACATTTCGTAATACAATTCACGGGTCTTCTCAAAATTAGCCATCTTAGCATACCCATCCATTAAGGAATTGTAGGTGTACAGATTAGGGGCCACATCCGAACCACGCATTCTTGAAAAAATGCCTTCTGCTTCCAACATCTTGCCTTCCATGCATAATCCACGCACGAGTGTCGTGTAAATAACAACCGTCGGTTTTAGTCCCTTCTCGATCATCTCATCAAGCAACAACTTCACCTTCTCAAGATTCCTTTTTTCACAAGCAGCATCGATTAGAATCCCATAAGTCACCTCACTAGGCATTAAGCCATTCGAGACCATGTTTTTGTAAACTTCCCACATGAAATCAAGACGGCCCGTTTTCAGTATCCCATTCAAGAGCGCATTACATGCCTGTACAGCAGGAAGTTTCCCAATCTTGGAATAAACCCAATAACCCTCGTCGGTAAGACCCTTCTCGCATAAAGCTCCGATCAACACTCCATAGACATTCAAATCGCTTCCCGAAGTATGAACCTGACCGAGCGCATTGAAAATCGACGAACACACCTTGTGGGGCCTCCGGGTTTTCCTCAGAGTCTCGATGAGGTCTTTTATCAAACACCTTGCCTGCACGTAGACCTTCGCTCGAGTGAGGAAGCAGACAATGGCCGAGTGGAGTTTCAGGGTTTTTGCAGGGTTTATGGTTCTCGAAGCCGAGTTAAAGATCCTCAGAGCCTGTCTTGGATTCGGGGAATTGAGTATGGCGGCGGCTAGATTCGAGAGGTACGGCGATGGAGGTGGCGATTGTGCTGCAGAAGAAGAATATAGCAGAGCTAATGGAGATGGGTTATTACTGATAAGGGGCTTCGTTTTTGGAGGAGAAAGCTTCGAAGTCACTGCCGCCATAGCCGGAATTCTCGTTTTCCATTAAGAATTGGGTTTACACAGTAGCTGCCTAAGTATGATTTGGGTTTCACTGACCGCCATTAGTGGAGGGGTCCTGCAGAGTGATCTTTATGTGCCACCACTGGTTTTACTAATTAGAGGCTCTGAGGCGGTGAAATGAAAGTGCCCACGGCCGTTTCTGTTTCCCGATCAGATGAGTGTTGTATTGTATGGACTATGGAACACTTTTTATGCGATGTGTAGAGATACTCATTAAATATTGCATTTAAATATCTTTTTTACACTAATAATACATTTAGCTAAAATTTTAGAGGTGAAATATCATTTTAGTATTGTTATGTAGTTTGTTAAGTTACAAATAATTCGTCATTTAATGTTGAAATTGTGAGGGAGCAAGCTGTGGGGAGCAATTTGTAGGGCGCCGACGGCCCAGCGTGTGCGTCACTCCTTGTGGCTAGCGAGCCGGGAACGCGTGTGCGTCACTCCTTGTGGCTAGCGAGCCGGGAACAGTTATTCATCAACGTGGAGCGGCTTCGGCGGCATATGGCAGGAGACGTGGCTTGTCACCATTGTGGGCAATCGGAATTGACGTTACATGTGTTACGAGACTGCTCTCTTGCGCGCCGTCTTTGGAACTCTTTGCTTCCGAGTCCTGACCGGTGAGAGTTTTTCTCGCAAGATTTACGTGGATGGCTATGGTCTAATGTGATGGGAGCTCGCAATATTGGGATGGAGGAGTGGGCGACCGTATTCTCCATTTTTTGTTGGAGGCTTTGGTATTGGCGGGATATGGTCGTATTCTCGAATAAGGTTGTGCCGCTAGAGACTAAAGATCCAGGATGTTAGACGGCGCGTGGAAGGGTATCAGAACATCACGTTCTGCGAGGGCTCGTTAGGTATTTTGGATCGTCAGTACGAGCCAGTAATGATCCATTGGACACCTCCTCCGTCGGATTGGGTCAAAATTAATACGGACGGTGCTCTTTGTTCTACTACTTGCAGAGGTAGTGTCGGAGGGTTATCCCGAGATTCGAGTGGTCGTTGGCTTGGAGGCTTTCTCATTAATGTGGGTTATGGTACTATAACAGGTGCAGAACTATGGGGTCTCTTTCATGGCCTTCGACTGTCTTGGGATTTGGGAGTGAGACAGGTGCTGGTGGAAGTGGATAATAGCAGTGTCGTAACTATGGTAAATGAGTGAGGAGAGCTTAGGGCTTCATGAAAATATTGTTCGGGCTATCTGTGAGTTACTCAGGAAGGAATGGTTAGTTCGTTTGTCCCATATCCATCAGGAAGAAAATTTCTCGGCCGATACTTTACCTGCGCTGGCTACAGGTATCCCGGTCGGTTATCATCGCCTTCAGAATCCGCCGGGGGAGCTCGATCATTGGAGACAAACTATTTTTATTTCTTTTCTCCACAATATACAAATCAAAATAGACATTGTGCCATTGGAGATGCTCTTAAGCTTTAACCTCTATTCTTGTACCAAAAAAAAAAAAGAAAAAAATTATGAGTATACCATTGTTTATATATTCATGTTTTCTCCTCATATTATTATTGATTTCACTCGTATCTCAGGGCGAGCAACAATGAAATTTGGTGCAAAACTGAAAAAAATGTTGAATTTGGAATAAACTGAATTGTATAACACATGAAAAAACGAACAAAATAAAAGTTTCTACATGTTTGTTACACTGGATAGGACAAGATTATGGCATTTATCTACCCCTAGAACCGCGTTTGTTCTCAGCGATTGCGGCCCGCAAGATTAAGAAGGGCCCGCGATCAAAAAGCATAGAATCGGTGTTTCCCGAGACTATTCCATCCTGGGCAAGGGGTCAAGATTATAAATATCTGTACAGTTGACTTGGTGCGCAATGTGTTTAGTGTTCCCTAACTTTTTAAAAAATTCACCATTACACCCTTGTCTTTTTTAGAAATTATCACTTGTCATTACACCATTCTCTGTGCAGCTACACTTCATCATTCCTTTTGTCTACAGAAAAGAGCATCTTCCTTCCCCTGTTCGTTTCCATTTATCTCATAAACCACCATCTACCTCAACAAATTCATGTGCCCATGTCTCCAGTAAATTGAATATGGAAGATCAAATTATTGATTATGAATTCTCCCACCAATTTATGAGGATCTTGTTTAAGTTCTCCAAAGCCGGCAAGCGGTTCCACCCGAAGGTGCCACCGCCCGACAAATTTGGGGTTTCTTGATTTGGGTATTGGGGCAAAATTTGTTTTTTGATTTGGAGATTTTTTTTTTTTTTAAACATGCGCCCGACAGATGCATATTTGAAGGACAATTGGGTCGAGAATCTGGAGGCGATGAGGAGGAAAACGAGCAGCTCGAGGCAACGGACACGGCCGTGATCCTCCGCAAGCTCCGATGCTTCAAGATCGCGTTCGATTCTCGACTCTAGCATTGTGAAACTTGAACGAATCCTTTTATTTTTTTTTAATAGTAAAAAACTCAATGATGTAATGCAGTTATTATATGAAAATATGGGGAAAATTTGTGGATGTAATTTATAATCAATTCGATTGAACAATTTCGGAGCTCCTTTGATTTATTGGCCGATTTTTTTGAGAGGGTGTTTTGATTGATTGAGGTTTTGGGTCGAACCTTGTGATGAAGAGAAGCAAAAATAATTAGTTTTTTTTTATTAGAGGGCAAATAGGTAAATGTAGTATTTATCCTATCATTTATCTGGGACAACAAATGCATAACAAGTATATCCATAAAATCTTATCTTGTGTCAATCATACATAACAAACTATAGTGTGAATCATATCTCTACAATGCAATCTTGGCCAACAAGATAAAAATTATCTAGTCCCATCCGGCTTAACAAATGTGCCCTAAGAATAATCGAACAAGACTCAATTTTTCGGTACTTCTGTGCATTTGGGTTGAATTCGTAAAAAAATCATATCGAATTGAAAAAAAAAAAATCAAAATTCTAGTTGGTGAATAAAATAACGAATCGTACAACAACACATAAAATATAAATCTAAAATTAGATGTGAACAAAATCAAGCTGACATACAAAAATCGAGTCAAACTATGCCATATGGTGCGGTTATTTTTATTTTATAAATGTGAAGATTTTGGGTTTAGTTTNGTCAAAATTTTTTGCACTAAAATAAGTTAATTACACTTCATCAAATCGCCAAATTCAACTCGATTTGTTAATTTCGTTTCGATTTTGCTTACCCTAGTCACCAAGTTGCACAACTTCACACATTTTCTTTTTGGTCTAGATTTTGCTTACCTATTGCACCAAATTGCACATTTAGGCTCAATCTTTTGATTTCAACCCAATTTTGCTTACCCTAGGAAACCAAAATGCACAATTCGACTCGCTCAATTACACATGGCCATCCGGGCCTGGCCTAGCCCGACAGGTCTCCGGGTTGGAAACACCGGTCCTTTCCTAGGCTCGGGCATGTACGATCCAGCGGTTGGGCCGAGCCCGACTCGAATCCAAGATCCGTCCAAAAAAAAAATTGAAAATAAAATCTATCTCTAATTTCTCGAACCAGCTCAAACCCAGTTTACTGGGATCAGGGTCGAAAAAAGCATGACAATGAATCGCTGCGATTGAAATCTAAGTTGGGCCTGAACTTATGATCAATGGGCTTGACCGGTCCGAGTTCGTGCCAAAACAGCGGGTCGGACGCCCGTGCCACCTCTATATCCAATGTGTAGACTCTAGACTAAAACGAGCATATTTTGGGAAGTGGATTTTCCAAAGAATAATTCCTTGTGTAAGGGTGGGTCAAAAAGGTACAACCACACTCTTCTTTCATCTCCCGATCTCCCACTTTCCCACTTTATCATTATCCCATTTCTACATCTCCATAACAAAAACGTAATAAACAAATAAGACCTAAAAACCGTAACAAATATATGGAATATGCCCAAAATTAGAGTTGGGAACCGAATGTTCGCGAACAAAATTCGTTCGAGTTAGACAAAAAATTATTTATTTTTTAATGGAACAAAAAATTAAACTAGTTTAATAACTGAACGAACACAAGTTCGTTTGCGAACGTTCGATAATGCTCTCGAACATTAATTTAATATAATTTTATTTTACTTTTCTATATTTATATGATATTTTTAATAAAAAATCTAAATTATATTTTTTTTTTACTTTTTTTTTTTATTTTCGAGTTTGAACAAACAATTTCGATAATCAATCACATTTAAAAAAGTTTGTTTTCTAAATTATTCGAAGATAAACTAATTCGAACTTTGACGAACAATTAAATAAACGAGTTCAAACACAATTTTTTGATCGAAAATTAAACGAACGAATACAAACAATATCGAACGTAAATAAACACGAGCTCAAAATGCCAAAACTCAACTAGTTATGTTGAATTACAACTAGGGCTACAAACGGGAGCCGCTCGCGAGCGCTCGAGTCAAGCTCGAACCCATATTTTGTATTGTCGAGCGGCTCGATATATATTAAATTACTAAAATAACCCTTATATATATATTTAAATAGTATAATACAAGTGCTTAATGGTAATTCAATTAAAATTTTTGAGTCGAAACTCGAGCATTTGATTTCGAGTCGCTTGAGCTCGAGCTATTGTATCTTCTTATCGAGTCGAGCTCGAGCCTCATAAATCGAGCTCGAATAACTCGAGCAGCTAAAAAAAATAATTTAATCCTACTCGATAAGACCAATGCTCGACTCAGACTCGGCTCGTTTGCAGGGCTTGATTATTATTTACAACACTACCCAAAACCCTTCTTCAACAAGCTTCTGCTTACGCATATATACGTAACGATTGCCTATATATACCCACACAGTAGCACAAACACTCAGGCGCGAAGGCATATCCATCTCCAAATTGTGGCCGAATTCGTACTTCTCCTCGAGCAGAACGCATCTGAAACGAGAGGAAAAAAATGGCGATTACAGCGGAGGATCGGTCGGAGATAGCTTTCTTCGACGTGGAGACGACGGTGCCGACTCGAACGGGTCAGGGCTTCGCGATTTTGGAATTTGGGGCCATTCTTGTTTGCCCCAGAAAGCTCGTGGAGCTCCGGAGCTACTCAACCTTGGTCCGGCCGGCGGACCTCGCTCACATCACCTCTCTCTCTGTCCGGTGCAATGGGATTACCAGGGACGCCGTCGTTTCAGCGCCCACGTTCGCAGATATTTCTGATTTGGTCTACGACCTTCTCCATGGTAATTTTTTTTGTTTTTTTTTTGGACGCCCAATTTTGCAGAAAATTTGCTGGGTTTTGTCGTAGATCTGTTTGTTTCGAGTGTTTTTCCGAGCATGGAGAATGGTGCTTTGAGTCTGGGTTTTGTGGTGTATGATCATCTGTTTGTTCTGAGTGTTTTCCGAGAATGGAGAATGCTGTATTGACTATTGAGTCTGTCAGCTGATTTTGATGGTTGTGTGTGGTTAATGTAGAGATTAATAAACCATTTTATAAGTTGATTTTGGTGGATTTTGTGAAAATGCTATTGTTGACTCCTTGTTAAAGAACAAGGAAAGCAACGATGTATCGGAGTTTGTAATGGAATGCATTTACTGAAAAATCTGAAAACTTTGGTACCCTTGTGATAGTTTTGACAAGAGCTCATCTTGTGCCGAAAGAAGGATTTGTGCAATTGTTTTCTTTTTCTCTTTTCCCTGGTTCTTGAGTAGTCTAGCATTTAGTTTGTGATTTGTGATAGTGTTTCTTTTTCATTATTGATTCAATTGAAGTATGACATGCTTGTTACATTCCGAGCACAGGAAGAATATGGGCCGGTCATAATATATTGAGATTTGACTGCTACCGTATAAGGGAAGCGTTTGCTGAGATTAACAAGCCTGCTCCAGAGCCTAAAGGAACTATTGACTCTCTAGCACTCTTAACACAAAAGTTTGGAAGAAGGGCTGGTGATATGAAGGTAGAAAACATGTTAATGTTTGGCTTTGGCAAAGTACTTTTTACTGTTTACATATTTTCTTTTTCCGTTTTTCACTTAACTTGGCTTCATGATGGAAGAGAAAAGAACACTTATATAAGCCAATGCCTTTCTTTCTCGCTTTCATTCTTTCTTTCTTTCTTGCTTTCTTCTCTAACTTTTCCCTAATTGTCCTGATTGATTGAGCCTTCTACAATTTATATTCTAAAGTTTGTATTTGTAAGCTCTGCTGTAATATGGAGATTCTTTTTCAGATGGCATCGCTTGCAACATATTTTGGGCTTGGCCAGCAAACTCATAGGTAATTTGCCTCTCCATTAAAATCTCTTGAATTCTATTATAATTCCTCTTTACAGCATTAATTTGCCTATTTGCATCACTTTCTCTGTCAAGGCATGGTTAAAATTGTATTAATATATACTATTAATTCATGTGCATGTACTTATAGCTTGTTGAAGTGATTATAGTTTCTCTACTTTCTATTCTGCAATATATGACAAGGTTTGCTCTATGCTTCACAAATTGGGTTGGCCTCATTTTGCCTTCTAAAATATATTAAATTCCATATTGTAATTCCATACCATGAGCCTTATAACATTTATTTTGTGTAGAGCTCTTTCTGATATTCTGAGTATAATGATCCTGGCATTTTTACCCCAATTCACTATATAAATAAAAATTAGGCCTAGTAGACAACCCGCTTCTAATGTCCCCTCTTGTCATCCTGCTCGTATGATATAATTTTACTCTGACGAATAATATTTCGTCACTTTTCAGGAGTTTGGATGATGTTCGCATGAATCTTGAAGTTCTCAAGTACTGTGCAACTGTCCTATTTTTGGTAATTTCACAACTTTGTAACTTCCCTATAAAGATTCTGTTTACGCTAACTGTCCTTTGATCATCTTTTTAGTCCCAGACTTCCTTGCTATGTTTGTGCCATAATTAACTTTACTGTTAATACGTGTTATATTAATTCTCCATGCAGGAATCTAGCCTTCCAGATATATTCACGGAGAACAGTTGGGTTTCCCCAAATGCAACCACAAGAAGCCGAAGTAATGGAAAACCTTCTCGAGAGCCAAACGAGAGCACAACATCATCATCTTCGTCAAATGTGGATGCCCAAATTTGTTCTATAGAGGCAAATCATTTAACACCATCAATCACAACATCTAAAACCGACAAAGTAAATTCGCCACAGATCAATTCAAATCCTCCGAGTGTTAGCCCGTTCAATCTGTCTGATCTTCTCGTTCAAATGAACGAGGAATTTCTTCTAGAGAAAAACGACCTGGCGGCATCTCACGAATCCTCAAATGCGGCAAACTGTGAGCATCAAAATGAATTCTTGGAACCTGATGATGTATCGATACCTCTTATATCTGTAGCTCTCGTGCCGTTTTACCGTGGAACTGAAAAGATACAAATATTGCACCAAAATGGCCCGTTGCTGCTCGGTTGTGCGGGCCTGAAGGTTCGATTTGGGATCAATACTAAGTTTGTAGATAGTTTTGGTCGGCCTCGATTGAATTTTGTGGTCGATGCTTCCCCGAGCCTTTGCAAGGTTCTTGATGCAGCTGATAATCTTGCCCAGAAGCTGTCGATCGATTCCGGTAGCTCATCTGAGTGGCGGCCGGTGGTTACAAGGAAGAAGGGCTTCTTCTACAACTCCCCCACCGTTCGGTTGCAGTAAGTTTCTCTTTATTTATAATTAACTTTCCTTATAGGCTGCTGATAAGTTAGCTAAGTTAGCTAAGTTAGCTGATAGCTCATAAGTTAGTTTATAGTTTACAAGTGATTTTCGAGCTTACTTATAGCTAAACTGCTACCTCATATGATAAAAGTGTTTGGTAAAATTAGTTGATAGCTGATAAGCTATAAATTAGTTTATAGTTTATAAGTGATTTTTGAGCTTACTTGTAGCTGAATTGTCAGCCTATGTGATAAAAGTGTTTGGTAAAATTAGCTTATAAGCTAGCTGATACCTGATAAGTTAGTTTATTGCTTATAAGTGATTTTTGAGCGCTGAATTGTTAGTTTATAGCTTATATGATAAAAGTGTTTGGTAAAATTAGCTTATAAATCACTTACAAGCTCAAAAATCACTTATAAGCAAAAAACAAGCTGATAAGCTCAAAAATCACTTATAAGCTAAATTGATAAAATTAGTTGATAAGGTAGCTGACATAAATTTTAACGAGCTTATTTGAAAAGCTACTCAAAGAAGCTTATGAGATAAGCTCGAGCTTTTTAAAAAAGCTCGTCCTACCAAACAAAACTTATTTGAATACCGAAAGCTTATAAGTAACCAAATAAGCTATAAACTAACTTATTTTGTTACTAAACATAACCATAATTTCCAAAAATAAGTTTCATTCTTACTATATACGAGATGATAGTATTGTATGGGTTCGGCAAAAATGTATGATTCACTTTTACAGTTTTACTGCCTTTTAAACGCAGCTTACCGACTGCAGCCGATGGTGAAATCACCCGATGCATGACTGAAATTTACCAAACGGATGATTCGGGTATACATAGGCTTGTGTTTAGTAGATTTGATGTTACTGAGCTCGAGTCACTATTCATTCCTGGAAAAATCGTGGACACGTGTTTTTCACTTGACGTATATGATTATCAGCAGAACTCGGGCATTCGCTTGATTGCAAAGAAACTTACAATACATTCGAGCTGAAAACTTGAATGTTTTAAGTTGTGAACTCACTTAGGATAACTTGTACTTTGGTTGTAAGAGATTGAAAGTCTGATTTATTATTAACCTTTTTAATTTGGTGTTGTTATATGATCAAATTGATAGGCAGTGTTTTATTCTTTTCTGGGACAAGCTGTTTGTGTTCAAAGCTCTGTTGACTTTTGGTTCTTTTTGAGCTTGAATCATTGTTATATAATTTATGACACAGATAATGAAATAAAATATGAAAACAATACAAAACAATCCCACAAATAAGTCATTGATTTAATCAAGATCACAATTGGAACATGTCACATATATCTTATGAACTCGTTTAATGTAAGCTGGTCCAAAACTGATATAAAAAAAAAGTTTATATTGAGGTTTCTAAACATTTTATGTTATTTTAACAAAATATTAAACCAACTATATAACATGACAATGGCAATCCTGGGTATAAATTGTTATTTGAGTTGAGCTATGTAGTTCATTTTCGAAATCTTGTTTGTTTACTAAACAAGTTGGCTCTAATCGACTTATTTAATAAATGAGTCAAAGTTCAGCTCGAGTTCGACTCGACTAATGAACTTGAAACCTTAAACGACTTGTTCGCGAACGCTCAACTATTTGGTTTTAAAACCTATGAATAAGAAATAAACAAACTTTTAAAAAAAGGCCCGTCTCATTTGTTCGATTAGTTGTTCGGTCTTGGTTAATTGTTCGACTTGTTTAAGTAAATAAATGAACTAGATTTTGAGTTTTGATGAGTCAGAGTTCGAGAATTCGAATATTATATTTTTAAATATGTAAATTAGAAAAAATAGAAAATTTTGTGTGGGACAAAATTTCGGACCACCACATAGACATATGTGAAAAAAGTGTCAGAAAAATGGGATTGGATTGAAGTGAATCAATTTTGATTCATCAACAATTTTGAACCTTTTCTCCCATAGATCTTTGAGCTGACGTGGCCGCCCCTCCATCTCTAACGAACTATCTTCCGCGCTTTTTCCCTTTTTGCTCTCCCCCCAGCTGCCCTCCACGTCACCCCTTTCTCTAACGTGCGCGCCCCATCCCCACCGTTGGCCCACGCGGATCTGGACGGTCGGGATCCCGACAGCTGGCTCGCGCACGTTAGCGCCCACTTCTGTCCTACCACCAAAAAGCGTCATCGATAAAAATATCTCAGCAATCTTTCCAACTGTTCCGAGCTTTTTCTCTCTCTCTCTCTTTTCCTTTTTTTTGCTTTTTACGGCAGAAGCTCGACGCCCCGCCCTTTGGAAGACTTTCACTGTCCTCCCCAAAATAGTTAGTAGTCTATATGCGTGCGTGTATCTGCGGATTGATCGACCCGGTGCTGCCCGGCCTGTGCTAACGTACGCTGGATCGGATGAAGCTGTATTGTACCTCTTCCCCAGCTCGCATGTGAAGTTATTGAGTGTTCTTCATCTCTTAGAAGTGAAGGGATTTTGCGGGAATCTGGTTGGTGGGTTTTTTGTTGGGATTGGTAATCTGTAAAAAGAAATGAGAGATTTGTTTTGATTTTTGTAGTTCGAGGGAGGGAAGTTTTTGTACACCATATCCATTTGATGATTATGAATCGTGTGAGGTGCATAATGGGGTTTCTATAGTTGTTGATTTTCTGTGGGGGAGGTGGCTGATTGGAACCCTAATTTTGCAATTGTAGCTGTTTTTGTGGGAGAGGTGGTTAAGATGGATATGAGTGAGATGGGGAAAAGCGGGGATAGTTTCATCGATCGGAGTAAAGTTAGGATCTTGCTGTGTGATAATGATGAAAAAAGTTCTGAGGAAGTCTTCACACTTTTGTGTAAATGTTCTTATCAAGGTACCCTTCTGATTGTCCTTGTTTAATTGGATTATTCTCGTGATCTTTTATTGATTTGTTTCTTTTAATGAAAATTAAACTTGTTAGTTGATGCTATTTTAGGTGCATCACCTCATGTTTGTATCTTATGTTGAATTTAATATTTATTATGAGGTTGTTTCTCTGGGATTTTCCCGTGGTTTAGCTGTTAGACTCCTTTTCTGTTGATGTGCTGGAGTGAACAGAAGTTGAATTTATGCTTTTAAAGCTGTCGAGAAGCTTGTTTTGCATCTGTTATGATTTTTTTTTGATAAACGTTGTT